AGGAAGTCATTATTAGAATGAAACAGTTTCATGTTATATACATCGAAAATAAATCCCTGTTTGTTTGTACCAATCTTTGTCCCTACTACATAAGAAGCAGGATGCCCGGCGTAGCCGGGCATTACATAAGAATGAGGAGAGCCCGGCGTTAGCTGGGCGATCCGACTGGTGAATTGAAAAAATGAAAACTGTACTGTGATAAGAAGTTGGTATAAAAGCAAGGAAACTTCAGTTTGGGGTTCTATTTGAGATATTTCAGCCTTCAGGAAAGCATGAAGTATTTGCTTTCCCTAACACTGTTTACTGTCACTGCGATCAACATATCTGAAAGTGAAAACTGTAATACAGATGAAGCTGAGCATCGAGCTTTGGTAAGGATTTTTATTGAAGATTTTGGGTTTTTGTAAGTAATTGTAGCCATTTCAGATCCAAAAGAACATCCCTCATACCTACTGTGTCAAGATTGATTTCAAAAGATCCCCGTTAGGACGACGCTGTACGATCAGGTCGTACGAATTTGGCTTTTCGAAAGCATCAGAGGTACTGCCAACCAGTAAAAACGATTTCCATCAGGCCCTCTAGTTCTGACTCCCTTCTTACGCCTCTGAAATTCAGTAGTGTCAATATGAGCAAATACTAAAGATAGAGGGCTCGATCATCAACAAGGTGGTATACTGGGAAGGGGCGCACTACCACTCACATGATCAGGGATCGGTACCGCCCAGCCAAATCAAGCCTTCATTCTCTTCAGAGTTGGATAATGGGTGCCAGATTCCTGATTTGCGACTGGCCACTGCAAGTCATTGAATAAGCCATACACACACTCAAACCGCCACTTCGACTTTGAATGGAAGTCGAATGCGGGGCGCATCCAAGGACCGGGATCAGTTAACGCCAAAGGCTTCTGACGACTATTGTCAGAGCCTCCCACGCCTCGACTTCACTTCCCGCCCTACCCTCACACCTTTCTGAGAAGGGGCATTTTCACGGCACTATCATTTGTCGAAAAACATTCCCACCGAATGATAGCAGTTTGTTGGTGGGTCTCTAACGTTACCTGCACCCTAGCCTTTGGAGAGATGCTAGGAAAGGCTGTGTAGTACGAAAACCGTTCCCTAACAAAAAACTCGGATACGACTTTCTCAGAGTTTCTCTGAACACCCATAATCCTCTGCCAATATCGTAATTGTTGCCCATTTTGCAGAGTTCAATCAAACTATTCAGAGGTGTAGGTGGTATAATAGGCTGAGGTCTTTCCCACTGGGAAAGGAGTTACGTTTCTATCGAAATTCTATTTCAGGAAGTGTGTGAAATGTCACCTGGGAAGATCACTTGCCATTGTGCAGGCAACTGCACAGAGGAAATGGCGGAGAGCGTAGAGGTGAATATACATATACCATACCGAACCTGCGCAAAGTATGAAAGGTATGGAATGAGATGGGGAAGGCAAAGAATCCCGCTTTCGTCTGGGTTCCCTCTATAGTTCTGCCAAGTGTGAGATGCCATCCTATAGTAGTAAAGTGAGGGGTTCCCTTATATGTACGGCTGTCGCCTTCAGTATTTCTGATTTCTTCCTCCGGCTCCTCCTGTTGAAGAGTGCCATACCAACAGCTTTTCGAGTAGTAGAGAATACCTATTGCAATGGATGTGTACGTTCTCTTTTCAGAGCGCAATGTCTGTAACAATTACGAATGGCCGTTTATCTCGAAAACGNGCGAAGGAGATGGTGGAGCAACCTTGGATTTTTCACTGGACACTGCTTCCGACAAGAATTCGTCTATCGCTGCTAGTGAAGCTAGTTCTGGTACAACATTTGAGTTGGATTATAATGAGGCATCGGGTGGTGTGGCTGTGAACAATTCATCCGAGAGTGATGGCCCAGGAAATGTTCCAGCGGGTGTAACGGAATCCGGTGAGCTCAGTAAGTCAAGTGAATCGGAAGCTAAGGAAACATCGGAGGAATCAACGGAGGAACCAGTTACGGAGGAGAACTCTGAACAACCTCCAAACACTGAATCGGGTGAGGATAGCCATGAGGAACAATCTACCGCTGATGAAGACCATGAAACCACTGAAGCCAATGATGGCAGTGACACTGAAGGTAGGTATGTTTTGTAGTGAAGGATTGAGAAAATATTGAGATCCAGTGTCTGTTCGGTTGCATTTTGAGACCCTGATCATTCGGAATAATTACAGAGTCACATGATGGTGAAGATCATACAGGGACAACTGATGATGAAGGTCAGGGAGCGGATGCCCAGCAAAGTGAAGAGAGCAAGGAGGTTGCCAAGGAGAAGAAATCTGCTGAGCCGATCGGCAATCGTCACTATTACACATTGTACATAACCGCTTTGATGTATTTAATCGCAAATAAAGCATGATATAGTTTCTAAGATTGTATAGAGCAAGGAGAAAATATCGGAAAACACCATCGGCTGCTTTCATAGTCCGCGGGCCGGCCCGAGAGCGCGAGCGCCGACAGGGGGACTACTCGGCCTGAGGTATCGATCAAGATCCAGTTTGTAAACAAGGCCACTGCGCCACTGAAAGAAATGGCGACACTACAAGCACCCCATTCTTGGATCAGTTCTTGTCCCGCGTGTAAAGCCTAACTTTGTGATCTTTTCAATCTAGAACCCCGTGCTTCTGGATGGTAGGTGGAAACGAGGTTTCCGGCAAATCTCATGCTGAGCATGTCTCGAACTGTACCTTTTAATATATATTAAATAGCTATCCAATTCTGGCGAAATTCATTCTTCTCCGTGTTTGCGCTTATTGACCACTTCTAAACGAATTAACAACTAGTTCCTAAGCCGCTTCCTGTAGGAGTAAAATCTGCAAGAGGCGTTACCGTTGTGCATTGGCCTACCATTCCATCGAATATATGAGTGTTCAGGAAGCTGAAACAAATTAGATGCGGACTTGGTCGCTGCACAGCCATGTTATAGCTGTTCCCTATGAAAACCACATTAATGTTCTTTTTTTTCCCTCGAGATATAATTGATGGAGCGGTAGTAAATATTCAGAGATGAGCGGATCGTCGCTTTTAAAGGCACAGCTCACGATAATAATGGTTTCTGAGATTTCCCTACAACATGAATTCGAGGCTCCCCCTCATACCATGCCTATCGTTGTAAGGGCGAAAAACGTCTTGGATAGGGCACAATAAGGAACTAGAGATTGTATCGTGTGAATGCCACACCGCTTGTGGACGAGTTTCAACGGCTTTGTAAAGGCTGCACCACGGAGTTCAAACAACTTGTCATGACCCATAGTGAGAGTGAAAGGCAATTCTGGACTATTATGACTTGATGTAGTCAGCTCTTTGCACGATGGGAGCAAGCTAAATCTCGTCCAAATACCCTTTACATGCCATTCCTGTCGCGGTGATCTCGTACAACCTCCACTTCCACTACTTTTAAAAAGCTTGAAGCAGGCGCATTTTCTTGCTTTCTTCGCCACCCATATACTCTTTTACATCAACACTTCCGGTTTTCAACTTACAAAGGGTACTTCAAAATTATCGTGAACTGTGCCTTCAAGCCATTAGCCCTTTCCTGGAAAAAATTGGTAGTAGGTTCATTCATTTCGAACGGATTCACTGTTTGGCGGCCGCGATTCATTACCCCCCGAATGCCGATTTAATCTGCATTTGACGAGGTCGGATTTATTTCGCATTCGGTCGATGATGGAAATCCTCCACAAATCATCCGACAGTTTGTTCCATCAGCCCGCATTTTCGTTTTTCAGATCGATTATCGATCGAAGTAGAAACACATTTGTTCAGGAAGGTATGCATTTCAAAAATGGAGTGGTTGCAGTTGCTGTTCTAACCCTTGCAAGAATCGTACGGATGGATCAGTCAGGAGCCGGGAATGGGGACCCTCCGATGATTATTCCTCAAGGTAATCTATGCACATGTCATGTACAGCCAGGAAATAGCGTTCGATCTGTAGTAGTTTTTTTT